TTAATCTAAATAACCCTGTTTCTACTGGATTAATTCTCCTGATTTATTTACAGTGTTTTCAGAACCTCCCAGCTCTGCTTTAGCTAGCTCAAACAGACCCATCCTTTAACTTCTTCCTCTTATATAAAAAAGTGCTTCTATATTTTAAGCAGATTTAGAAGAAAATCTCCTACAGATGCCAGTGAGGGCTTCCCCCACCCAGTAAAATTGCCATATAGGACAACAGTCCAGCTTGGATCAGAACATTCAGGCAGTGTTAACCCTCCCCTTCTAGTGATCTTGCCAAGAATTGCCCTGGCCAAGGATTCAGTGGAGCAAGGATTCAATAGGTAGCAGTGATGCAGGCCTGAGGTACATCAGCAGGGATCGGAAGGAAAGGCCGACAGGTTGGATCGAGAGCCCTGGCAGTTTTTCAGTCCCTGCACTAAACAGACAGAAGCTAGAACAGGTTTGAAATTGAAGCACATATCAGCTAGTGCTCAACAAGGCTGTGTGTGCCATCTCAGGATGGGGAGAGAGAGAGAGACAGTTTGAAATTTGGTCACATACTGAAATCTCCTCACACGTACAACATGAATACGAACAAGGCAAGATGAGATTTTTAGGTCACTTTAAAATACACGTTCTCTACACATTGCAAGGTGGTAGTATTATTTATAGTTGGAATTAAACGAAATGCTACTCTCATTTTTGTTTTGAGAATTCAGTTAGGATTGCTAAACTAACCAGTTATTCCAAAGGTCCACTTTGCACAAGTCCTCTCCATTCCAGTATATGATCTAAGTTGAAATGGTACAGATTGTTCAGGGGAGCATGGACCATAGTCTGCTGAAATGTAAACTAACCATTTAGTATTTTTTTTAATTAACCAGTTTTTTGACCTGTTTGTTTGTGAAGAAAGACCAGAAAAGGTTGGTATCATGGGTTGTATCAGTCAGTAGGATGCCTTTATTTTATAAAATTAGCTGTATCATAACTTAGCAAAACTCATACCATGTTGTTCCTGTCCTTGGTGCCAGCACTACCATTAGGTATAGAAATGCAGCTTCCACTAAATGAGTTAATAGCACACGAGGCTAAGAAGTTGTTATACTTTCTTACGGTTGTATTTTTTCATTTCCTGCTCCACAGAGACAAAACTAATGAGTCTTTTTTGTATTTGTTGTAACATAGATTTAGGGTGTGTATGGGGTTTATGAGGAAAGAATATCAACACTCTAAGATATGTAGATGACATCATACTACTAGCAGAAAAGATCAAAGATTTGAAACAATTACTAAAGAAAGTCAGAGAGGAAAGTGCTATGGCAGACTTGCTATTGAACATTAAGAAAACAAAAATAATAACCATTAAAGAGCTACAGGAATACATTATAGATTAAGAAGGAATCGAAATAGTTACAGATTTCCCATACCTTGGATCAGTCATTACAGTCAAGAAATCAGAAGACTAGGATTGGGAAGGGCAGCTATGAAAGAACTAGGTAAGATCTTAAAATGCAAAGATATTAAATTGAATACCAAAGTTAGGATGCCATCATATTTTCTATCATCATGTACAGATATGAGAGTTGGACAGTGAAGAAAGCTGATAGAAAGAAAATCAACTCATTGAAGATGTGGTGCTGGGGAAGAATGCTGAGAATACCATGCATGGCCAAAAAGACAAGCAAATGGGTCGTAGAAAAGATCAAGTCAGAACTCTCCATGGAAGCCAAGATGAATAAATTGAGGCTGCTTCACTTTGGCCACATCGTGGGAAGGCATGACTCACTAGGAAAGACAATAACTCTAGGAAAGGTGGAGGAAAGCAGAAAGAGAGATAGACAGACTCAATCAAGGAGGCCATGGTCCTGAGCCTGCAGGATCTCAGCAGAGCAGTTAAAAACAGGGGGAATTGGAGGTGTCTCATTCACAGGGTCACCATGAATCAAGGCTGACTGGAGGGCAGTTAACAACAACATATATGGTGGAGGTGGGGAGGGGAAGGGAGAGGGGAAAGGGAAAGGGAAGCTCTCACTGTGTGAGTGGACATCCCTTCAGATAATATTGGCATACCCTTCAACATTTTACAGATGAAATCGGGACACATGTGGCCAAGCAATATCAGTATGTGGTCAAGATGGTAAAAGTTATTAATGAGAAATAACACATAATCTAGGAGAGACTGCAGCAGTCTGATTTTGCCTGATCTTACTGGGAAGGGCAAGATTCTTCCCACTTCTTTCCCTCTTACCTTGCTGACTTGAGTATAAGTTACTTTTGCACTTTGAACTCAGGTGCAAGTCCCCCCCCCCGGGGGAAATGGAGGAGGAGGAGAAAGAAGCTGGGATATTTTAAAAGCAGCTGAAAAAGTGGGACAATAGAAGAACAATTCAGACTATCCCTGCCTAATTGATACAGTTGGAAGGTGTGCATTGGAATTAACCCAAGTTTAAACCAACCATGTATAATGTAAGTACTTCATGTATATATACTACTGTATATATAAAAGGAAGACTTTATTGTAGGTAAAAGTCTAGTAATATGCCTTGCAAACAGGGCATTTTGCAAATGCCATTACTCTTTTGAATATTTATTAATATATAGTATCAAATATATAGTATCCTACCAATGACACACACGGGTCATTTCCCCAAGTCTTACATTGCTGCTGGGGCATGGGGAAGGCTCACCAGCAGTTCTGGAAGAGTTCTCTCTACCACTAAGCCCTGCACTTCTGCTACTAGTGCATGTACAATAAGATAGGCCCCAAGTCACAGCGGAGATACTCTACTCCCTGCCCTTCTAGAAATGGCATGTAGAGCCCAAGTGCACACAGCCATCTGGCTCTCCACATTCTCTTGTATCACACCTTTTTGGGGGGGATTTTTTGTGCATCTGTGTCACCAAAGGACAACATACCTATAAACACCTTTGTACTTGACCCAGACAACCCTGACACCAGCTGGGAATGAGAAGAGATGGATATCCAGGCATTAAAACTACCTCACATTAAAAAGTCAGACTTCTCCCCCTTTACTACTACTTATCCTGAGTAACAGGGCCAGATTAAGACCAGATGAGGCCATAAACTATGGGGCCGTACAGGTGGCCCCTAAGGGGCAGCTCTGTGCTGCCCCTGGGAGTGCCAGATCGGGGCTGCGGCAAACACATGCCACGCTGCAGGTTTTTGCCACTCCAAAAAGAGCTGCCATGGCAGCTCTTTTGGCACAGAGTGTACATGCTGAGCCAATGGGATGCCGTGATGCCACGTGCCATGCAGTGGGATGCGAGATGTGACGGCAGCATCGGAGCAGAGTCGGGGCAGCCAGCGTGAAGTCGCCCTGCCCCAACTCCACTTCCAGGCCAGCCTTTTGGCCAGTCTGCACAGGCCCTATGTTAGGTTCAGGAGACGACATAGCATTCTGTAACACATTCAGTTATTATAATTGTGTACATGTATGTTAGGTATGTGAGGCTCTAAACCAGGGGTAGGCAACCTTTCCCCTTTAAGGGCCGAGGGACTTCAGCTCCCAGAAGCCTCAGCCATGTTGGCCAATAGTCCCATGTTGGCCAATAGCTCCTGGGATTCTGGGAGCTGAAGTCCCTTGGCCCTTAAAGGGGAAAGGTTGCCTGCCCCTGCTCTAAACTGTAGGCTCTAAGCTCTTAGCTTCTTGTGCATAATTTTGGCATTGGATGGTGAGTATGTTTGTAGCATAACTTCTCCAACCCAACTTGAGCCTGAAAGCCTAGCAGCAATTTGAAAGAGGTGCTACTTTTCTACCTGTGTTGCTGGCACCTTTTAAAATATATATGACACTTCTGAAGGAATATGCTAAAAGCTTTCCCTAGTGATCCCCAGAATTAAATTTGTGAGTGCCTGTGGCAACTGTATTTGTGGACCTCTGCTTTGACTAGGTATCACATTTGGTCTTTTCTGTTCAAAGGAAAAGTGAAACACCATCTGCTTTGAAAAGAACAAAAACTTATTTTATATAACCTAAAAATCAAAAAGTAAGATTTACTTTGCATTAGCTTTCAACAAGCCAATTTTTACAATCTGTTGTTATGAATCGTGCTGCAGATAATCAATTTAAAATAATTATACTTAAAAACATGTTTGCTGAAACTCACTTATCCTCTAAGCAAAGGACAAAATGCTGGTGAACAAGCAGCAAATAACAGTTGTGCAATGTCATTTCAAGGTCAGAAAGGGATCCTCTAATTTGAGGGGGAGGATAATTACACAAGAAAGAAAAATAACACAAATTGTTTTCACTGTCTCTGTAAAGTTCATAGGATTTTTTGGGCAAATCTTCCCAAATCATTTGGATTTTCTTATTTGTGTGTATAATACGGGTTGTTCTATCCATTTCGAAGCGCCACTTTCACTACAGTGATACTTTTAATGAATCCATAACATATCAGGGAAGCTGGCCCTATCTGGATAATATTGAGGGTGGGAGAAGAGTGGGGTTGTGTCTACTGGCCCAGGCCTTCAACTTCTACATATTCACAATGCACTTACACACACCTTCCTATGGGCCTATCTATAATCAGGATGGGGGTCAGGAACATGGCTCAGCATCTTGCAGGGTTCCCATTCTCCACACACAAACACAAACACAAACACAAACACACACACACACACACACCATTTGGTTCATTCTTGAGCCAGGGCAGACTGACCCAGTATGCGGATGAATAATATGAGGAAGGCTGGTCTACCTTCTTCACCTTAGAACATTTCATTGCTAATAAAACTTGTGGTCTACTTTACTCAAATACATTTTTCTCTTGATGCAAACACACCTTTGCTTTTCTTAACTAGGAGTAGTTGAATAGTGTGTGTGCATGTGTGTATGTGTATATGTGTTCTGTAGGCCTTCAAGTCATTTCTGACTTCTGCCACCTCGTCATAAGGTTTTCTTGGCAAGATTTGTTCAGAGGAGGTTTGCAATTGCCTTCCCCTGAGGCTGAGAGCATGTGATTTGCCCAAGGTCCCTCAGTGGGTTTCATGGCTGAGCAAGGAATCCAACCCAGAGTCTCTAGAGTCATAGTCCAACACTCAAACCACTATGCCACATTGGCTCCTGTATGTGTATATATACATGTGTATATGTTATATGCAATTAAAAATGAATTTTAACCGCAGGTAAAGATTCCAACTAAACATTAGGAAGAACTTCCTAACAGTAAGAGCTGTTTAACAGAGACTGGTGGAGTCTCCTTCTTTGAAGGTTTTTAAACAGAGGCTGGATGGCCATCTATTGGGAGTGCTTTCATTGTATATTCCTGCATGGCAGGGGGTTGGACTGGATGGTCCTTGGGGTCTCTTCCAACTGTAGGATTCTATTATTCTACAGTAGTGTATGCAAGAGAGGCAGCATGGTATAGTGGCTTGAGCATTGGGCTATGATTCTGGAGACCAGGGTTCAAATCCCTGCTCAGGCATGGAAACCCACTGCGAGATCTTTGGCAAGTCACATTCTCTCAACCTCAGAGGAAGGCAAAGACAACCCCCCCCTGTACAAATCTTGCCAAGAAAACCCCATTATAGATTTGCCATAGGTGGCCATGAGACAGAAACAACCAGAAGGCACACAACAACAAATGTGTAATCTCCCACCTTTTTCCCAGCCTGGGCCTCAAGGTGCCATTCAAGGGTCAAAAGAAACATAGCTAAATATATACCAAATATATCAAATAAACTATCCATAAAATTAAAACCAGTTTTAAACATTAAAAACAACAAATAAAAAAACACAGACAGACAGGATATAGCACAGTTCTGCAAGGCTCAGTCCCCTTGAAGAATCAGTAGAATCAGTCTTCAAAGGCCTGCCAAAATAAAATTAAAAAAGTCTTAACCTGCCTGCAGAAAGATAGTAAAGAGGGTGACTGTCCAATCTTACTTGGAAAGGAGTTCCAGAGATTGAGAGGAGCCGCTGAGAAACCCCTCTCCCATGTTCCCACCAAAAGTATCTGTGAGGGTAGTGGGATGGAGAAAAGGCCCGCTGTAGAGCATCTCAAAACACAGACAGCCTTATATGGGATTCTCATATGAGAATATGGTCCTTCAGATAACCGGAACCTGAGCTATAGGGCTTTAAAAGTCTAAACCAGGAGAGAAATGAACTGGCAGCCAGTGGAGCCACTGCAAGAAGGGAGTTTATCGCCCTTTAGTCAGTTCATACATACAGTTGTACAGTAGACCTAAATGAGTCTCACAACCATCACCACCACCAGCCACCTACTTTTTACCAAATTCTCTTTCTCCAGCACTCCTGATAATATACTCCTAAGTAGGGGTTTTCACTGACATTTGGGGACACACATACACACACAGTTTGAAAAGTAGTCTAGTTTGATTCCAGTTGTTTCAGATGCTGCCCAGTTTTACTTGGGTGCAAATCAAAACCCCACTTAGGAAAATCTGAAATATTACCCTGCTCTATTGACTATTGCTGGGTATAAGCAACTATTATCACCATACTTTTGACAGTAAAAATTGATATCCTAAGGGGATGAAATCCATCAAAGTTTGCCATTGTTCAGATAACTGTTGCAAAATTATCTCAGTCCAAGAATGGCTTTAGCTGTTGTACAGGTTGAGTCTCCCTTACCCAGAATTTCAAAATACAGTACTCCAAAATCCAAAATTGTCCATATGGATAGCTGAGATAGTGATACCTTTGCTTTCTGATGGTGCAGTGTATATAAACTTTGTTTCATTCACAAAATTATTAAAAATAGTGTGTTGTAAAATTACTTTCAGTCTGCGTGTATAAGGTGTATATGAAACATAAATGAATTTAATGTTTAGACCTGAACCCCATCTTCAGGTTATTTCATTATGTACAGTGGTCCCTTGGTATCTGCTAGGGTTTGGTTCCAGCCCCCAGCCCCCCCCCCCGCCCCCCCGTGGGGAACAAAATCAGTGGATGCTCAAATCCTATTAAATATAATGGCATAGTAAAATGGTGTCCCTTTTATACAATGGCAAAATCAAGGTTTGCTGTTTGGAATTCATACATTTTTTTCAGTATTTTCAAACTGTGGATGCTTGAATTCATGGATAAATAAAATCCGTAGATACAGAGGTCTGACTGTATATACAAATATTCCAAAATCCAATCATCATCATCATCATCATCTGAAATCCAAAGCATTTCTGATCTCAAGCACTTCAGATAAGGGAGACTCAACCTGTACCAGCCAAAGTTAAGTATTCCAACCAAAGCAAGTGAAAGGTACACCAAGTCCCAGAGCCCAACTGTGCTATCAGAGATGAAGATGAATCCAGGAGTTTGGGTACGATTCAACATTTCTTTCCTGGCCCGTACCTGGGAAGCCACTCTATCCAGGCAGTGATCCAGGACTTTCATGACTGTGCTAGATTTAGATTTGTATCTAACAGAGAAACAGAATACTTATGACACATAGTCATCAGAATACTTATAAAACTTTGTTCCATATCTCTTCATGACTGTTCTCAGTGGCTTCATTTGGATGTTTAGGTACACTGGAGATAACATGGTACACTGAAGCATCCCGTAATACAAGTGACAAGTGCCCAAGAAACAATCTCTCTATGTATTTCTCTCGAACAAACTCTACAGAATAGGGATGCTATACTGCTGAAGTACAGTTCCCCAGCTTTGGAACCAGTGAGCTTGTCCAGAATGATACCATAATTGATGGTATCAAAAGCCAGTGAGAGACTGAGCAAGAGAGGAATGAATCTACGTCTCCCTCTCTTGATCAAGGTAATGCACCAAGATGACCAAATTCAAATTGGTCCCCAAACCAGTGGTATTGCTAGGGGTGTGCGCGGTGGCATTGCTAGGGGTGTGCGTGGGCTGTTGGTGTGTGGACCGCACTGGGTGACACCCCAGAGAGGGATGTCACCTGGTGGAGGGAGCTGTCTTCTGAGTCCAGCATGGTGGTTGCTGCTGTGTGCCAGACTGAGAAGGCCTGGTCTGTGTGTGTGCAACAGCCTTCCAAGTCCAGTGGGACTCTGAAGGATGGTGGTGATGAGGGTGTATATCCCAGGATTTTGGTACTACAAGAGATGCACTTTTTGAAGGATGCCAATGAGGAAAGAAACCCAAAGGGCAAGTGTGGTTTTGACTGCCAAATGGTAAACAATTCGTACGGCAGAGACCAGAAACTCTGGGGCCAACCAGCCAAAGGCTGTAATTGGAAACCAAAAGTAGATTGACAAATGTGGTTTCTTGAGTGCTGCTTCAGCAGCAGACTAAAAGGAACTGGTGGTTTCTGCGGGAAGGCTACTACGTAGGGCTACTGTAGACAGGGCAGGGCGGGGTGGGGCTACTGCCAAAATTCTTATATAATGTTCTAGAATGTTCTGAAAGATGGACTGCACAGGTGCAGGATAACCCATTTGTGTGAGTAACACAGACCATGAAGAAGAATACATATTTTCTCAAAGCACTTGCAATTATACCACTACAATTATCTTAAGAACGTCAGCCACAGAGGGAAGGAATGGGAACACATGGCTGGATACATTACTATATGCACTCTGGATACATCTTCAGGACATATCAAGTGACTCTGATCCCAGACAACAGGACTGCACATAGCACTAGGCAACTCTGCCACTGTAGCATCATCAGGCCCACTGTGGAAGCAAACAATTTTGATCCTCACAGTGCTGAACAAAAAAGTCACAATGAACCTCTGAAGGAGTCAGGTTTCCATTAAGTGAAGTAGTGATTTCCATATTGACCCCAGTATTTTATATCCCCCTCTATAATCCCCATCCTTGATACAGTGATACAGATATCATGTGAGGAAAATCTGAGAAAAAGTGGGTAGGTGGAAGTTACTTATTAACATCCGGGTCTAATCCTGACAGCATGTCCAGACAATGCTGTAACTGTTGTTACTCTCACCTCTCTTTCTGCTGTAATTTAGCCTAGACACAGTCTACATGCCAGAGAAATTCAAATATGTCAAATTGCTGACACAGGCCTTATACAATTTTTCCTGGAGGCTATCTGAATCTATACCTTACATGTCCTGACACAGACACATTGATGTGTGGCCATTCTCCTGATTCTTCCCTGCTAATGATTGTAGACAAAGTCCCTTTTTCCTACAGGCAATTATGTGTATGTGTAGAGAGGGTGATACATAACAGGTAACTCAGATTTGTTTCTATTGCAGAGGGATGTAATTCCTCCTCGCCTTGTTGCTTGTAACTGGGAACAGAATCTTGTTTTATCTTCATTTTTATGTTATAAATAAATTCAGATTAAAGAAAGGAACTGGCTGTGCTTTGCTTTGACAATGCTTTATGTGACATTTAACAATTTATGCAGCTGTTTCATCCCTGCTGTTTAAAGGTTACTTTTGCTAGCCGTGTGTTTCCCTGTGACACAAAGTGAATGCACAATTAGAAGTCACATCCCCATATGCTCAATTCAGTCTGACCATTGTGTGCATCTCACGGTTGATTCTGCTAATACCAAGTAAGAGGTAAGTGTTTGGAGTGTCCATCCTGAGTTTTATGTCTATTGGCATCAACGCAATAAGCCAAAACATAGATATTGAGACCAGTTACTTATCCATCATCTGGACCAGGGGTCAGCAACCTACAGCCTGCGGCCCAGGTCCGGCCCCCGAGGCCTCTGGACCGGCCCCCGCTGACCCCTGCCACCACCATTTTGGCACACGTCACAGCCTCCATTTTGTTTTCCAAAATGGCAGCTGTGACTCGTTTTCTCATGCGCAGTACTCCTGCGCATGCACAAACGAGTCATGGCCACCATTTTGTTTGCCAAAATGGTGACTGCAACTCGCTCACGCATGCGCAGTACTCCGGAAATACTTCCACATACTGCGCATGAGCATGCCATTTCCCCCCCCCCACCCTCGGCCCACGGGACCTGGAGGCCAGCGGACCAGCCCCAGGTAAGAAAACCTTGCCGAACCCTGATCTGGACTATATTTTCTAACAGAACTAGTACAAAGAGAAACAGAAAGAAGATCAGTAGTTTTCTTGCTGGCTGATGATCAACAGAATTTATTATATATTATTTTATGCTGTGAACTACACTTAGTATTGGGCAGTGCACTAGTAAGCATGGTTATTTATTAGTTATATTTACATTCCTCTGGCTCAGCCAAGGAGGTACTGCAATTTTCTTGCATGATGCCAAAGTGGTCAAAGAGACAACCTATTCATTTAATTAAACAGGGTAAAAACATCATGAATCAGATACTGGAAATAAAAGATTCAGAGATCAGGGATAAGAACTGTGTAACCTTCCAGATGTTATTGAAATGTAGTCTTCATCAGACATAGCCAGCATAGCCAATGTTGAAGGATGCTGGGAAATGCACTTCTAAGTGTTAATTTTTAACAATTTAATTGCCTATTGGGGGTCATGGAATGGCAACAGTACATTTTAAAAAAAGTTAAA